GAGTAAGCGGATTGCGATCCGCTAAACTCGTACTTGTTCTGAGTATAGAACGAGAGGTTGTTGACCGAACTAACGCTTCCTCAAAGCACAAAGCTACGGCAGCCACGCTGCATTTCCTAATCTCAGATTCTGTCTTGGATGCCTCTGCATAACTTGGAAAATAATACGACTGTCAGCATTCGAGTCTCAATTCGTCGTTTCCCATCGTGAACACGAGTGTATCCATTCAACCTGAAGACACGCGGGAATTCAGATCTGGTCTTGGCCCGCGAAGGACTTCAAAGAACTCCTTTCCGACCGTATGGTGTTCGCTATACGATTTATCGTATGCGCTGCTGCTATCATTGCCTCACCCCACCACTTATGGTCTACATACTTGTAATGCAATGTAGCTTAAGTTTCATTTGCTCGGCTAAATCGTCGTTTTGTTGAGCGGTGTATGGCGTAGTCGTCTGATAGATTATCACATTCGCCGCATAGTATTGATTTACTTGCGGTTCATGTACTCGCCGCCGTTGTCACTCCTATATACTCGATTCCTTAACAAAAATTAACTCTTCATCATTTCCATATATTAAAAAAAACGGTCAAACGTCTGTGATTTCTCGCAAAATAAATACTCTTAAGTAAAGCGACTTCAGTGGTCGATGACAGCCGTTTTGATCTTCATCGAAGGACATACGTGCTCCCTCAATGGGCTCTGGCTTCTTCGGACCCACGATTATCGTGTGCACAATCTCGAACGGACTGGTCGAATTCACTGTCCTCCTGATCTATGACAATTAGACAGTTTGCCATCTTGCCTCGCACACAATCGTCACACACGCTTTCTCGCACCACACCAACTACAGGAATGTCATCACATGTGTTTAGTACTCGTCGCAACTTGGTGTCTGCCACATAACCCAGACAAACATGCCATCGTTCACTTGCATTATAATTTCTACCCAAATTGACGGCTGGATGGGCTTCTGCTTTGGCTATCACACAAAAAGCCTCCCCATACGCTATCGCCGCGTCTGTTACACTACCCATATCCATTTTCAGACTATACGAGCACCGTGGACAGTCAGCGTAGTTATTGACACAGGCTTTTGACTCAATGCAGGCACATGTAGTAAATAACGGCCACTATACATAAAATGCACACTTCTCACTAGATGCGCTGGCTGCCAAATATGATTATTGTCAAATCGCGATGCTCGATAGAGTAACAAATGTCATCTGTCGCATGGCAACTTGCGCCACTGTCCAGCAGCTATTCGAAGCTATATACCGGAAATTTAGTCGTCGCCACGAACACCAATTCGTCTCTACCATTCGACGCCATCTAACATGGTCGGTTCATCTGCTTGTGTCTGCTTTGCCCGCACACTTAAAACTTTTTTGGGGTGCCAATGTTACCACGTTTGGCTTGTAGTCTCCGAGTCTTTTACTTGTCTCACCAACGATTCCATTGCGACATCTTGCTCCAGTGCGCTGATCGGAAGACTCGAGAACACTTTCTTTCGTCTCGCGCTTTGTAACGTGTCGTATTCCCGGCGAAGCGTTTCCTCAGCATCCAATAATATCACTTTGGTCTGCGCTTTAATTATCGCACAATGGCGTCATTCGTGGAGGAGTAGAACACCAGCTTCTTGTCAGCGTCCACATCATCACCTGCGCACTTAGCTTAAGAAAGATTTATACAAATTTTAGCTTGTGATCTACGAGATTTGCGCCGCTAGCCATACGACTGTTTGCGGAGTTGCACTCTGTTGTGTTGATTTTTCTTAGTGAGAAATGCCTTGAACAACTTCCAGGCTACCACAGCCGTCACGTACTCTCGAACCATAGATTGGTAAGTTGGGGGGCATTTTAACTATCACAACCACAGCCTTCATATCTGATCCTATGCAGGGTATCTCGTTGCCCTGCCGACACTGGCTTCACTAGAACGTTGCCCGCATGTTCCTCTGGGCGAGAGTCATTCGGACGTTAGGTTTCCACATGAAATAGATCTTCTCCGTGAGGATGCAGCTGGATCCTGGCGTTCTTGAACTCAAAACCAATAACGATGTAGTTCTATCGATTGCAGTGCCTGTAACGGATTGACACGTACCCTTGTAAAAAAGGGCGGCTCACACAAGATAGTGTGACCGTACATTGGTGTTGATTATACGAGTTGGTGTTATCACACAGTGGTGTGGCTACACGGTAACCAGTAGCATTACATATGAATTCGGTATTACAATATTAATTAGGAGGACATAAGGCTCTAAATATTAGCGACTCTGCCGCAACTTACACAATTAAATACAGTCTCAATTTTACACGGGAGAGCGTCTTTACTTTTGCCTATGTTTGAATACCCTTGGAGGTAGCGGACGATCCGCTACGCTCGTACTCATGCTTACAAAGAACGTAAAGTCGGTGACATTAGCATAGCTTCATCTAAGCTAAGAGCTACGGCCGCCCCGCTGCGGTGCTATATAAAAATGTATGATTGAATACAGTGTTTTATATAGCAGTCGTCACAAGCATATAAGTTCTTGAACTCTGGTAGGTTTGATCGGTCCTTCGTAGGTTCTCGATGTTCAATACTCACTGCAAGTTGACTATTAGTGCCATACAATTTGTGACATGGTGACGCTACAAAGATAGTCAATGTGCTGCAGGGGCAAACTCTCAAGTCGATTAATGTTTACGTAAAATGTGTGATGGCTTTCATTTCTGACTGATAGCTGTCATAGATCGCGTCCATACATCTCAGTGGCGTTGTACAGAGCGGCGCGACAAGCACTTGTCATTTACTCAACTGGAAGCTTACGCACAAAGTTGCGCGCTGAAAGGTAGTAACCTGAAGCAGCCAGAAATATGCGGTGGTAGCACCAACAGCAATGGGCCTATGATGCTCGAGTCGATCAGGAATGCCGACTTTGCTGTTGACAAGAGAGACAGTAGCTGATCGATGCTGTTGTGCATGTTGCAAAATAGAATACACGTGAGTTGGTCAGCCCAGAAGCAGGGCGATGTCTCTCTCAACCATAGTAGCCGAGTTTGTTGTGGCATCTGAGACGTCGCGCAAGCTTCAAATGTTAAAGAATTGCCGAATGAGTCTAGACGTGGACCGGCTCTACTCATGCTGATGGATGTGGATAATTACGCAGACAGGAGTGGTAAACTTATCCCTTTATGCTTAACACATCAACTTGCGTCTCAAGCTTGTCGATAATATTTTTGATCGTGGCACCTTGAAAATGCGCTACGTTTAGTCACAGCTATGTGCGCGGACCTGTTGACCAAGTTACTGAATCGACACAAGGTCGCCAAGCTGCAGATATTTGCGCAGTTGCAACAGCTGAAAAATTTATGATGTGGTCAAAGAGGAGGACGACACAAGGCACACTACCACATCACTGAATATATGTAGACAATATTCTACAGAATTTAGAGATAGCACATGGCCACGAAATAATATTTTAAATATTTTCAAGCTCGCATTCTACTATGCGCAGCATTTTTTTACTAGTACGTCGGCGTCCACCAAATCTTGCATGCCAATTACTCATTAGTAACATCAGTAATCTGGCCAGCGATTCATCGATGTAGTCACCATCATTCTCATTCAGCCACTTAAGCCGACCAAAATTACAAAATTTTGATGTTATATTTTGATGTTATGCATCCTCAGCGTCTTGTGAGATTGTAGAAACAACTCCCATGCGTGGCGTACAAAGAATAATATGATGAGGATGTAAAAAGTTCACACTTTAGCTTATGGTTGACACATTTCGAACGAATCTCATTACAACATGGTACGCTTCTTCTAGAATCTAACAACCAAAATTGCACAACATACAAGAGTTTTCACACTATACGTCGACGTCAAGTGTAATTTTTAAGACTCGTAGATTGCGTCAAATCTATCATTAGGTGGTGTTGAATGACCGAGTATCATTAAGCGGCGACCTTACTTGGCGAAGAGTCGGTGGCCAGACGTTCGTTAATTTTGTGAAGATGTACAAAGTTGGACATTTGGCACCAATGGTTTAGTATAGGGTTTTCAATTGGAACATCTATGCGCGATTTAAGAGAAACATATGGCAGCTTCTACATTGCGTTTCTGCACTACATAACTATTTTGAGAATGAGGATTGGAAGCCAGAGTCGAGCTTTAGGGCATGGATGGGCTAATACCATTGCTCAAAGCCCGTCCAAATTCGATTCTTCCTCAACAAATCCTTACCATTTTCATATTCTCATTTTCGCGATCGTGGGACATTCTACATCAAATGAATGTTGGACCGTTCGCCAATGCGACTCGGATCGCTCCAATGGTGGCGACGTCGGTAGTGATCATAACACTGCTCACTTGTGTGTCATTAGCTAAGGCCAAGGACATCTATCTTGGTGGACTAGCATGGCCCTATTTCTCTGACACAGGCAGAGGTGACGATGAAGATTTGACCTTACGTTTTGAGAGTGACATAAATGCTAACTATTTGTCGTATTGCCTGTAGATGCACCTGCTTACACCGTGTTCTGTGCTGGGCTTTCGATCGTGGCGGTCGCTCTTATCGTCACGTGGACTGTCAATTACAAATTTCAAGCTGAACTAATTGAAATGAAATGTCAAGGGAATGCAGAGAAAGTATGCGGCAAATATACTCGAAAGTGCTGTCTAGTTGTACTGGTGCTTGGCGTGCTATCTACTTTTGGACTACCGGTGCTCGCATTTTTCAGCACGACAAGCTATCCGGATGTTCACAAGTATGCCGCCTACTGGTTTTTTGTCTTAGAGGCCATTGCATTAGTAGTCAATGTAAGTTGTTGTATTTTTCTTACTACCATTGTGGGAAATTTCTAACCCAGCGATTTATGCAGACATATGTGAGCTATAAGCTTGCCCGTCTGACTGACAGGGGAAAATCGTACTCCACGTTGGAGTCGGACGACCAGCCACCATCAGCAAAATTTTCAAATCTATTTGAATGGTCGACTTCAGGCACTAAGCGCACATTCTGTATTCAGTTGTTTTTCACGACGATATTCTTGATCGGATTTCTTCTCTATATTCCGGTCGGTCTGGCATTGATTGACGACTTTCAGCGGCTCAGCATTGCTGACGTACGTTCATGTAATTGCTTACTTTATTCTGGTTTCGTATCTGATGATAAATCATATGCTCTAGTGTTTGAATCTCGATTTAGGTGATAGATACTGCAATGACACTATGAAGCTTAATGATGAGGAAACCGTCTTATGGAACTATGGTGCTCCGGATTGTTGCCACTAAATA